GAACGCGAATTGAATATTAAACTCACGTGAACGGAGTGAACGACTGTCACCCGGAGAAGAGGCAACATGCGATTGCCACCTGGCGTTGGCTTCGGTCACGGAAGAGAGACTGCCTGTATCAGCGTCTTCTGAGCGCACAGCACTGGTTTCGTTAGCTACATAACCTCCGAATTCCCTGAGCCCAGTAAAAGAAGGAGTCATTAGGCAAAATCCAGACTTTGCAAAGCGAAGGAAATAAAGGCAGGATTGAATAACTAGGAAGACCAGACCTGATATTAACATCCATATGACCTGTTGTTGGCCATTTGTATCATTGACGTACTCCAAATTTTGAACTTCTGTCTGCCTTGTTAATGCTACGATTCCTTCTACCATCTAGGCCTGTCCTCAACAGACATTTCTGCACCTGCTTCATGTCACCTCCGGCCCTCTATCAGGGGGTTCTGACACCAACAACCGAAGCCATATCCTCTCGAGCCTGTCCCAGGACACCTCCTTCCAGTACGTGTCCTTGACCGCGCGTGAACTGGTAGCTGATTGGCTCCTATCTCTTCGTGAGCACTTCAGCACTCGTGTTGTTCGCATCTGCCTGCCTTGTCATACGCAGTGCTCACCTTTCGTGAATCCAAGCTGCACTGGACCCTCGGCGACTCAGTGCAGTTCATGTCGCACAGCCGTCTTTCAGGGCCGCTGTGTGGCCTTCTGTCCAGACGGTGAGTTTGTGGTTTGAATCTATTTAGAACTGTCTACTGAACAAGTGTAAGTAGGTGGTTATAGTTTACTTAACTTGGCGCGCATTCGGAGAGGTTTGTTATGCAAATGTGGTTCTATTACCGAAAATGGACATTCGATTTACCTTTCAACGGTTGTGGTCCGTCTTTAATAGAATAATTGCAATATTGTGTTAAAGATAGGTGCACACCGATCATTTAGAGGACACACTCATCCGTCCATGGTGCCTTTGGCGCTCACACTCAAGCCGACTCTGCAAGGCGGCTAATGATGTAGGCAGAAGGACATTACCGACAGAGACAACTGACACTAGGATGGTAATTTCTGGCGTAGGCTCTAGTGTGAGCTCCAAAGGCACCGTAGACGGACGAGTGTGTTCTCTAACTGATCGGTGTACGCCTATCTGCCACCGTATATTCCCGATCAAAAACAGGCAAGTCAGCGAGCCCGTGGCGCAGTGGTTATGGCGTTAGCTTTCTAACTGTCGAGGTCGCGGGTTCAAAACTCGAACGAGGCACCAATTTCTGGGGCAACACTTGAGTTGGCTATGACTAGCTGACGACAGCAAATAAGCCAGCAATGACCATCCTAGTTCACCTGGTCTTTAACAGTGCTGCTCTTCTACTTGCAATATTCTAACCACGTCAAGCTTCGTCTCCTTCCTTCATCTGCGACGTTTGCACTCCCGACAGTATAAATGTATAAAAAATTCCCGTTAAGATTCCTTGTGGAGTCTTCGAAGTGTCTTTATGTATTACAAACACCTACTTACAAGTTTTAAGTAGGCTGAATTACCCGCAATCTTTCTGTTTCCTGAACGCCACCTGTCGACCCAGTAGGGATTCGATGATGGCATTGAACTATAGACGGGTCCATCGAAGGCCTCCGCATACAATAACCACTAAAGTCAGCATAATAAGCAAACTGTCTTTTCAAATTAACCCATTACATCCCGGTGATCTTATATGAGATCACTC